AATCTAAGCAGGTTAAATCAGGAGAACGCGGTGGCCAGGGAACTGGTCCGCCCGTCCTATCCAGTTCTGGTCGTAGACACGTCCAGGTGATTCCATGATGTTCCGGTTAAAGTAAGCTGGGGCTCCATCGTGCTGAAACCCCATTCGTCCGGTTACAGCTGGAGGAACATCGACGAAAAGTTCAGGTAAGACATCCTGTAGGAAGATGTTGTACATGGGGCCAGTTAAATGATTGGGTAGAATGTACGGTCATATTAAGTTATCGTGCGCAATGTTTGCCCAAACATTAATGGAAAACCTTTCTTGGTAGACGTGTGTTATTGTGCCATGTTATCATGAGCGCACAGGTGAGAATGATGAATGTTAAACGTACCCGACTGCGTAAAGGTAGCCTTATCAGAGAATAAAGCATCTTCTAGGATGGAAAATTTGATTGCCTGTCGACTGCTATAGGTGCCAAAGAGCAAAAGTGAGACGTGGAAGATAATCGTCAGAAGTCATTGCTTGCACTCACTGTAAATGATACGGATGTATTCTGTCTTCATGTAAAGGCCTCAAAACAGTTGCATGGCTCACACCCAGCGCACTTCCTATAGCTCTCGAGCTTGACGAAGGATTATACCCTACTGTGTTTAGTATTCTTTCTTCCACTGCAGGAATTCTCTCCTCGTGCAGCCCCATACATGAACTGTATGTCGGTAAACTCCGCATTGATGCAACGATGCACGATGCTCAAGATCTGTGCGGGAAAATGAAGAATCCAGCTAGCCTCGCACTCATCAGCTAGCCGTGCTAGCTTTTATACGCCGCATTCATCACTGCTGTCTACTGGCTCAACGCGTCATTACCGAACACACATTCCTAAAAGAAATCTGCTTATTTAGGTCTGCCTTTACATTTTTGACATATAGAGTTTTAAACCTACCCAGTATATAGTTGTAGAAAACATTTTCAGAATAACTCGAAATTTGATTAATTTTTTTGAACATCCTCTTCTACTTATAATTTCTAAGAATCAACATGTATTATTCAATACTTTTGATTCATGAGCTCACATTGACTTAGTTGTAAATTGTATCTTTAGTCAAATATTTATGTAATACCCAGCACATATACTTAAAATTGCTTTTTTCTCCCTCCTTTCTGCACGCCTTCGTGGTGTAACGCGGGAGCACACTCGGCAGGTATTCGAGAGGTCCAGGTTCGAGTCCCGGCGAGAGCATTGCTCATTTTTCATGTCTTTTGCTTCATAAAATCCTAATGACTCTACAAAGCGACATATTCTTATTTGATTCGCTTTGTATAAAAATGAGGTCAGTGTTACGAAATCTACTTGTTGGGATTTGTTCCATCGATCATTAAGAATTGACACAAATAATGCTTCATAACTGAAAATATTCCACCATAAATGGGTAAAATTTTATAGCATGAGATATGACTGGGATATTTTCAGCTAAGTTTCGCATCATGAATACTGACTTAGCAGTTCACAATATAAGTGATGCAATATATGTTATCATTTAAAGCATATAATTCAATTACTTTATAGAATAACTAGGCATTTTGTGAATTAACTAGTTTAGTCGATCAAAGTGTATAATAGATTAATAAGTCACCCAACCGGGATAGTGGTTAGTGAAGTTGACTGCCGTATCGAAGAGCAAATGTTCGAATCTCGGAGAAGGCATGGGTGTTTGTAAATGTATAGTGTCTTTGCGGCAAGCCGAAAGGCCTCTTGAGAGATTGGTTGCAAAGAGGAAGCGATGGGATACCCTCGGACCTGTCCCTCCTCAGGACACCCTAGTTCAAAATTTAGGCCGGAACTGAGCAAAGTCGTACTGTCAACAGGAGAGTGCGCAAGGCTCTTGCCAATGACAGGCATAATCTTGCACTCCATGCCACAATGGATTTCGTGGGCTTGCTTTTTGATGTTACTGTCAGGCAAGGGAGATAAGTCACGACAAAAATAACAACAAAAATGGATTAATAATTTTACACTTTACTAATTGTTCTATAAAATAACTAGTTATTCTGTAGATTAACTAAAAATAGATTGTTAAAATAAAAAAATAAACAATTTGGCTTTAAAACAAACCCTTCGTTTTATAAAACAACTGATGATAAATCTTTATTCTCTTGAAAAATACATTTTATATTACGGATAGATTAACTGATAAATAATAAAATAAGAGAGAATACATAAAAAGAAAATCTGAAAGATTTCAGATTTAAAATTACGTCCAAAGGAGCATTTTTTTAACATTTTGTGTGTTACCTTTACTTATTCCTCTAAGCGGCAAGGCTGTATATATACGGCCTAGAATATTTATTGTGGTATCTGTAAGAACGTATATGTACGTGCATATTAAATAAAATATGTCAACGAAATTAAGGCAATATATCAAAAGAAAACAAATCCAGGTATGAAATACCAGGAGAGTTTTTGCATTATAATCAAAAAAATAATTTGTTCTCATTGTAGTTTTGGGAAATTTGTGCTTTCTTAACGAAAACCCTGGCCGCCCAGAGGGCTAAATATCATGTTCTTCGCACTTAAACCATAAAATTCAATTCAACGGAAATATTTCAAAATAATTTTGAAATGAGCATATCCTTTAGAATTTTTGATACATAATCTAGCATACTGGAGACAAATTCCCCCCCCCCCGGTACAGTGTTGGAATTTCTCTCTTTGAAATCATTGAGTTTGCTAAACAAAAGTTTCTAACAGCTTTACAAAATATGAAATAGATAATAAAACAAATTAGAAATTCAAAATTCATGCTTCCAGGTGCCCATATTCGAATGGAGGACTACGTTATTCAAAATTTGATAGCTCTAGGTATCGTTGTTTTATCACAGAGTGAGGAACATACATACATTTATGCAGATTCTTCATTATTTAATTTCTTTAAATGTAAAACAGGACGATAATATTTGTGGCAACAGTTTGAAAAGTGAAACGGACATTCAGAGCGATTCGACGCAAACTCGCAAAACGAAAACAATAGTCCCTCAGGGACAAAGCTACTTTAAACTAATAATAAATATTGTTGCTATATTAATTAAACAGCAATTAAAAATAACAGACTATACTATTTTAAGTTTTTTGATGAAATCGCATCAGACATATAATGGGAATACCACCAACAATGGCTATATCAGCACTGTTGCCACTCGGAAAAATGACGGTGAAAATTAGCATTTTAAGAGTTTTTAATTAATATCTCCGATTTTTAGCTCTCTCTCTCTTTTTTTTTTTTTTTTTTTTTGAGAAAAATAAATCGTCAACTTTTTCCAAAACCCAGAAAAGAACAGTAGAAAGTTTGATGACGATAGCTATAGTAGTGAATGAGTTATTAGCGAACACATAGACTTTCTATGCTTTGTATACTGAAATGCTGACTGTTTTCTCTTGAAAATATGAGATAAAAAATTAAAATAAAAGTCTGAAAGGTTTCAGGTTTTAAATTACGTCCAAAGAAGCGTTTTTTTAACGTTTTGTGTGTTACCTTTATTTATTAAATATCATGTTCACCGCACTTAAACCATAAAATTCACTTCAATGGCAATGAACAATATTTTTACTCTAATATTTTTGCTTACATTTTTTTCTAACTGCAGCTTCTGAGTAATATTGCAGGAGCTTCAAGCAGATGTAATCGTTTTCTTTATGCTATAGGTTTTTTTTATTCATTATCTATGTTTCGTATAGTTATGCTTCAGAGAATGGCAATCTACTATGTTCTTTTTTTTAGAATTACTGTAACTTCGTGTTCCCCCCCCCCATTTTAGAGTAAAGGAATTATTTAATTATTGTAGAGTCATAAATAACTAAAGAGATATAGATAGTTATTTCCGAGTAATAAATAGTTTCTTGAGGTAACAAATTTGGTGAGAATTTTTTGAACAAGCAATGTCCCAAAATAATTTTAAAATGAGCCTATCTTTAGAATTTCCGCGCGCTGGAGATAAAAAAAGTTTTTTTTCTTCCTGCACATTCTTGCTATTGCTCGCTTTCAAATCATTGAGTTTATTACTCAAAAATTCGTTAAAGTTTTAAAAAATATGAAATCAATAATAAAACAAATTCCGAATTTCAAATTTGGGCTTCCACATGCCCATATTCGCAGTAGGATTACATCATTCAAAATTCGATGGCTCTATGTACCGTTGTTTTATCACAACGCGAGAAATATACATACATTTATTCAGATTCTTCATTTTTAATTTCTTCAAATATAATGCAGGACTCTAACATTTGATGGCAACAGTTTGAAAAGTGAAACGAAAACAATAGTACTTCATTCATTTTTTAAAAAACATACTTAATCAATAATTAGATTATACTTCTGTGAAGCATCTTCAAGGATAGGTTGTAAGAAACTACATAAAATCATGATTATAGAGTAGCACTACAGTTTTAAACCTCTTTTATAAAATTTGGAAAATGAGACATTTTTATATTGATAAATTCAAATGAGAGGCAAATATAAGCTTTAAATTTATCAATATATCCATTTTTCTGCTAGATTACTTATTTATCAAGTGGAGCATTAAATATTTCTAAAATTAAGTATGACAGAAAGCTGAAGTTCTTAATTTGCCATATGGTGTACAGACTGCATGAATTTTGTCTCATGATAGTTTTACCCCCCTGCACATTGTTGCTATTGCTTGCTTTCAAATCATCGAGTTTATTATAAAAAATTCGTTAAAGTTTTAAAAAATATGAAATCAATAATAAAACAAATTCTGAATTTCAAATTCCCCCCCCCCCAAAATCCCAAAAACATATGCTAGAAAGCATATGTTTTTGGGATTTGGGGGGGGGATTTGGTTTGGAAATAAACATATGCTATCTAAAGCATATGTTTACTTCCAAACTAACATTCCAAAACTCATTTTAAAACTCATTTATGTATATGTTAATCTTATTTTAATTAGTCAGAAAACTTTGCATGATTTTCTGCCCTTTGAGTAGAAAATATAAATCAAAATAAGTTATTATGAAAAATTTATTTCAAAATGACAAATTTTACATGATTAGAAGGCAACAAATGGGTCTAGAAATTCTGCTTCACTTCCATGGTGTAAATACTCAACTTGCTAGAAGAAAAAAAATTACAATGAGTAATCAATAGCATAAATAAGAACACACATTTAATATAACTGAATATTTTTTTAGAAAATGAATAAAATTTCTAGGCAAATCTAGATAAGAGCAAGACACTCACTACATGGAGAAAAACAAAAATTTTAAGCTTTAAATATCACATAAATTTTATCCAAAAATTTATTAAAATATTCAGCATATTAAAATCAATAGCCAATTCTGTACCTGATATAGTTTTTGTGCTATTTGCAACCAAACTACTTTTCTTTTACATTGAATATAATATCTGCATTAACACACAAATGAGTGGAAAATCACCAGTTATTTTCATAATGAATACTTCTGCTAAGTATCAAATAAAATTAGAATTCCTAAAGATTTTAAATAAACCATTTAACTTAAGTTAGAATTTGAAAGTCTGTTTACAAAAAAAGTTCTCGAATCTGAATTTTCAAATCTTTTTGAAGATTTACACATTGCATCTTCAGAAAAAACAAAATGTAACTGATAATCCACCTCATATTTTCTTAATGTTAATGCATTTTAATTCAGTTATTTAAAATTCAATTTAATATCAACTTGTGTTAATTTTGTTGGAAAATACTTTGAGTTCTCAATTACTTACTAATTTTGATAACTCAAAATATTTTGATTTTTCCAATAAGCATGGTTCAGATATCTCCTTTTTACTGAAAACTTACAAAACTGATAACAGTCCAAATCAGATGCTCTTTTTAGCCTCTTGACAAACCTAAGTATATTTTATTTTTTATTAGCTTTTTTTCTTCAGCTTCTTCCTTTACATTTTGAAAAACAGGACAAATTTTTCATTTCATTTATTAATTTTATATTAAAATTGAATAATTGTACAATAAACCAATATTATTTTATTTTTTAAAAATAATTATAAAAGCATAATTTTAAACATAATAAAAGTCTCCAATCTAGTATATTTTTACAAACTTTTATATAAAGCATATTGCTTGTCCAAATTAACTGTAATTAAACAAAGAATTCTGAGACAGTCTGGCTCTTATAAGTACAATTTATACGTGATAAGATATTTAAATACTACAGCACTAACGTAATATAGCTTTTAATGAGGCTATTTGTACTATAAGCCACATAGAAAATCATGCCTTATTTTCATATGACTTTATTGTGTATGTCCTTATTTATCTTGCACTTATAGTCTAATGATTTATTTTTTCCTGTCATGAAATCTGATAAAATTCATTGTTTATTAGCCATGAAATGTGTCTTAAAATTTTCTATAGATTCTGACCACTGTCTCGTCAAAACTACCTAGTTATTATGCAGTATATTATCTGGATCATCGTGAATGCTTTAATTGCAGTTTTTTGCAATTCCTGTGTAAGCAGAAAATAACAGCACTCAAGCAAGTTTGCAGAAATCAGACAGAAACAGTACACAGGCAACTTATATCAGACAGAACGACAATTTTGAATTTCAAATTTTTCCTTTCTGAAATTTTTAAGTTAAAAATTTTCTGATAATTGATGATGGTTAAATTAAGCAAAGTTCTATAGCACAATATGTAAACAAAATTTTATTTTTTAAAAACAGTTAAAAACTTGCAAAAACTAAAAACCATGTGTCCAAAATTTTTAAAAAAGTATCTTGAATAATGAACACTATCACTAATGTAAATTGTTAAAAATTATATAAATTATTAACACCTTTCCTGCTTAATTCTAAATTATGCTTTAAGCACTCAGTTTCAAGATGGAGATGAACATGTGATTTTCAAAATAAACCAATAAACTATTGATACAGCCTAGAATAAATAGCAAGACACTAAACATAAAAAATTTAACTCTATTTTGCTTGCAGTGAGTTATATTTCATTGTAAAATTAGATCACTTCCTATTTCATTGCTTTTCAATTTCAAATCTTCATAAATTCATAATTAATAATAAACTTGATAGGCAGTTTTAAGTTTGAATGGTGTCATAGAATGGTATCCCATTTTGGATAACATTTAGGACAGTGTCCACCTGAAGTATAGATCTCCCATGCTTCTGATATTCGATCTTTCTAAAAAAAAGGAGGGGGTGACAAAAACTATCATAAAAAATTATGATCTCAAAATGATGAAGATGATTTATATTTCAGCAGGATCTATAAACTTTGTTGCTTGTTATTGTCGCTTATGCTCACTTGTCTGAGTATAGTCAGCCCAAGCCCACGAAATTCCTTGTGGCAAGGAGCACTATATTACGCCTGTCATTGGCAACAGCCTTGAGCATCTAACAGGTGACAGTGCGATTTGGCTCATTCCACCCCCAATTTCAATGAAGAGCATCCTGGGGGGGGGGGGGTGCTGCGCTACAAAAAAAAATTTTCTCTGTAATTATCTACATTAATTTCAAATTAAATCTTAATTTGGAATAGAAGTTTAAATGCAAGAATTATTTCAATTCGTACGAATAGCTTACTCAGAAATTATGTAAAACCGCAGTGTTTTACTTCACTAGTGCAATCTCAATGGAATTGATGAATTTAATCTTTGATTTTGCCTTTTCTATATTTTTGCCTTCGGGTGAGTGATGTGATTGCATCCTAATTGATGACACGAATGGTCCTAGGGCATAAAATTTAATTATCTTTGTAAATATTCTTTGTAATTGTATGCCAGTATTGAAAAAAAAAACAACCAAATCTATTACAAAATAGCTAGGACTTGTTTTGAAAATGAGGCGTAAAAGGTTACCAGCAAAGATATTCCGTTTGGCATCAGTTGTACCATTATTAGCGACTGCAGCAAAACGAAAAAGTACCAGAAACGTCTATTTTTAATTTTTATATATACATAATGGAGTGTAGTTAATTTTTTTAATGGAATGTTACAATGCAGAAAAGCCAGTTACTTTTACAAGGAATGGCATCGTTTATGAGTAACTGCTTAGCCTCCCTTAAACCTTTCCGGCACACTACCTTTCAAATTTGGAGTTTCGACCAAAAAAAAAAAAAAAAAAAAAAAATCTTATTGATGTGTACATCACATGACTTTCTTGTACGGAATATTAAATTATATGCATTTTTTCTTGCATTTCATTTAAACTTATTGGATTGAATTAAATCTACTTTGCTGATAGCCCATAATCCACAACAGAATAAATGCATTCTTTAAAATTCACTATATTTGTCTACAATGGCGACACTGGCGCTAGGTTCACTTAACAGCATTATATTTCATTCATATTATAACTCAGAATGCAAAAAATTTATATCATTTGTTATCTATTTCAGTTAATGTTGCAGATTGTGATGTTCCTTAATCTTCTAATTGGATCCGGCTTATTATTTTTTACAGACTGTTAGAGCAATTTTATAAAAAGTAAGCTTGAACTTTTGATTATGTCAAAAAGAGTTTGATTCTGGAGCTGCCAAAGGATCTACAAAGCGAAAGCATGTTTCGATGTACTGCTTCCGATAGTGAAGAAAGTGACAGAGAGGTTATTGAAAACAAAAAAATTTCGATTGACAAGTTAGTCAGTATTCTCAACACAATTCACATAGCAATTACAGGACTTGAACAATGGAACTGAACAAGAAATTATGTCTGTTTATAGAATTAAAGAGAAAGTATGAGCACAAAAAACGAAGCAACATAAACAACTTACATAGAAAGAAATGTTTAATAAAGTAAACAAATAAATATTAAGCTTTTTTTTTTTTTTTTAATTTTGATACTATTTAGATTATAATTGCTCTTTATTTCATAAATTACGGTTTCAAATTTTTAATTTTACAATTTCTGCATGCCATCTTACCGCATTTAAATTGATGATCTATACTACGGAAAAACCCCTAATCTGGAATGGCCGAAGTCCGATGAGTCCGGATTAAAGACTTTGTACTGTATTTACATTTTATATTTACACTTTCATCTATTTTTTTCATCGTGGTACTTTTCAAAGAAAGTGAATCTTTGAAAAAGCACCCAAGATAATCCAATATTGCATGTTTTGCACATGTTTGAGGATTTGTATCAGATTCACTATCTGAAAGCAATTCGTGTAACACTTTCTGTGATTCAGAAATGGTCAGCCCTTTCAAATCCATTTGGAAAATAATTTAAAATAAAAATAAAAATAAAAATAAAAATAAATAAACTAATAATATATCTACAATTAGATATTATAAAATGAAATTAAATGAACGTCTACAACTCAAAACTATCAAACGTAGTGCTAACAAAAAGAACTCTTTGAATGAAAGCGAAAGAGAAAAATACCAAACAGCTAACTGATAAAATTACTTAGCAGTGGTATGGACACTCAGCAAATTTAGAGGATACATCGAAAGCCAGCCTATCACAATCACCTCCGACTCCGACCACCAACAAATGAAGTGGCTGATGTCTTTAAAATCATCAACTGGTAGGTTTTACAAATCTAACAATATGATTATCAGTTACATCCCTGGACGATTGAACTTTGTTGCTGATCTATTATCTTGTCCTATTTGTGAACACTCAAGTATAGATTCTTGTCAACTTTGTGGTGTCTCCGTCAAACTCCTCACTAGTAGTCCTGCAGAATTACATCAATCGCAGCTGAAAGATGATGATCTTCGAAAGATCATTGAAACTTTATGAATCTAGAGAAAGAAGTAGATTGTAAATCTTGGAATGGAAGAGGATATATTATGAACAGAGGACAGTTGTACTGATATTCTCCTGATTTGGAAGAAGCACAACTAGTTATACCTTAAAGAAAAGCAGAAGTCTTTATAGAGTATCATGAACACCACAGTGATCACTATGGATCTGAAGGGACATCTTATTGAATAGCAAAAGATACTACTGTGTTGGAATGAGAAAAGTTGTCACTATAAAGCCTTTAATCAAAAGCCATCTGGGTTACTTCAAACTTCCGTCTTTGCTCAAAGCTCTAAGACCCTTTCAATTGACCTTTTCAGTCCCCTTCCTGAAACACCATCTGGTGAAAAATGGATTTTTATTGAGCATGAAGTGGACAAAACTATTTGCTTTAAAGGAAGCAACAGCCAGACAATATGCCACAACTCTTTTGAAAGAAGTCACCCTTCAATTCGTATGACCCAGGAAAATAATAAGCGATAATGGTGCTCAATTTACAAGTGCTGGTCATGCAACAACTGTGTTATCTCTTGAACATTGATCAAAGTCTTACTCCTGTCTATCATTCATAATCTAACCCAGTTAAAAGAAAGAATAGAGATCTAAAACCTCTTTTAGCAATACTTGAAGGTAATGACCATCAAGAATGGAAAGATAAACTGTTATTAATAAGATTTGCTTTAAACACAGCCAAGTGTGACTCAACCAGCCAATCTGCTGCTTTTCTCCAACTTGTACAAGAATTGAGAACGATAAGCCCTAATTGAGAATGATAATTTTGTTCCAGAAATCACTCCATATTTGAAACATTTTGCGATAACTGTACATTCAGTACGAGAAAAAGTCCAGTTACACTAAGATCGACAGAAGCGATAAACTGATAAGAAACAACAGGAAAATACGAAATTTATTCCTGGAGTAAAAGTCTGGGTTAATCTCCCCACTGTCAGCAAAGGCACTCTAAAGAAAACTAGTGAATTCATGCCTAAGCGAGATGGTCCCTAAGTGATAGTGATTACAAGATCTCCAATGGCTTTTGATATTGCCAATCCCAATGAACCAGACAAAATTCTCAGCACGGTTCATTCTTGAAACCATATCAACAGTGGAATAAGTTCCAGATTTCAGGTCGGGTATCTCCAGTGGCTCCCTTGAAAAATGGGAGACACCCATAACATTGTAATACCCAATGAACTGTACCTATTTCTAAAGATGTTCCTGTATCTAAACATACTCCTCATCAAACTTGAGACCGTCCACCTAGTTCTCCACCTACTGCACAAAGTAGACAAAGGTCAGTTCCTGACTTCTTGCCAAGATGTCTCGAAGTCAAAAGGAGAGGATGTAACAGAATTATTTGAATTTAACCAAACTATTTTATCAAACGCCATCTAGTGGTGAAGAGAGCGGCTTACAGTCAACCTCTAGCTATCTGATAGTTTCTTCATTATTATGTGTGCATAATTTTTAGCTTTTAATTTTAAATGTTAATTCTAAATGTTAGGTTTTTTTTTTTTTTTTTTTTTTAAGTATATGTTTTATCTGACGTGCATTTTCCTTGTAACTGTTCCTGTGCTCTATTAATAAATTCTTTCTGAATTAGCCAGCATTTGAGTTTATAGAAGAACAGTTACAAGAGGAATTTTCTTTCCCTCTATCTCAAATTCCGCTTAATAGCTAGAATAATATTGACAGAGAATAGTAGTGATAAAGTGCTAGACTCTTATCTCTTTGTTTCATTTGTTAGTTTTCTTCTTATGCTGTTACCATTTATAGCATTCTCTTTATTCTCATAAGTGACACTTTAAAAATTTTACCTTTTTTAACTGGTATGCTGGAAAAAGGATGAGCTTCTTTACTAACATAGTTGAAATAATATATTATACTGTACAGTTAGGGCTTAAATTTAACTGGAGTCTGGCTCCATTATTTCTTTGTTTTCAATTAAATTGCAATTCCAGCCAAGGACGAAATAAAATGAAGTCTGATATTTTATTTGATTATTCAGTTATTTATTATTAATTTAATAACGGATTGATTAAATTGTTATTTATTTATATTTACATTTTATTGAAATATATCATTATTTTAATTATTAACTATTTTACTATTTTATTTATTTATTTTTATTCCTCTTTCCTGATGATCCTGCTTAGGGCTCAGACACTTTTCATTTCAGAAAATAACCCCCCCCCCCCGAGTTGCAGTAAATTTGTATACAGCTTCCTCCTCAAACAAAGCATCTGCTTGTTTTAAACATAATTGCTAATTTAATTACAGTTTTATTCACAACACAGTTTTTTCTTTTTATCCTATTATAAACAAGATCCAGCTGGAGCCAGTTTCCTATCCTTAGTCTTACTGTCTGTCTGCACTTTCCAAGGTTGCATTTCCATGTTTCCTTTAATAATGCATAGTTTCAGTGCACAGAACATTTTCAAATTTTTGGTAATTTGAGCAATTCTGAAAAAGGCTCATAGCTTCAGTTTCATTTTCAGTAAATCACAGAGATGCATGAAAAAATAACAATGCACAATATAATAAAACAAAAGTGAATTTTTTTAAATAAATTGTACAATGTATTAAACACAATTAAAAAAAACACCCCACAGTGAAGTTGAAGGCATAGTTGCAAATACCTTTTTTTTAAAATTGATTGTTCTTGCACATGTTTAATCATTCAAACTTTTATTTGCAATATTATGGTTGTGTAATATTACAAAGGGGGGGGAATCCTCAACACTTAATTTAAAAGAAGCAAATTTCCATATTACATATTTAATTCTAAACTTACCTGCTAACTTCTTGCTCACTAATGCTGGCATGTTACGTCTAGTTGAAGAAATTACCAGCAGTACAAACAAATATACACCAATGTAGAAGTGAACCTTTAAAAAAAAAAAAAAAGTTACAATTAATGTTTAACTAATCAAAAAAAAATTACATTATTAGCAAATTTGATTCACATATTTCTTCTCTCTACACATCCTTTTTTCTAAATTTTTTCAGCATATGATTTAAAAACTTCTCATTTCTAGTAACAACGTAAAATGTATTCACAAAAGGAAAGTATTTTATGTAAGTAACAAGAATAGAGCTAAATTGATAACTCCTTTGAAATACATAATATTGTTACAAATTTTGCATATATATAAATAATCCTAATGAAATTATATGTGAAATTATAGTGTTTTTTCTTTGTATCCATAGATAGATACTAATAGATGGAGCAAGCCTAGCCCTTCAATACGTATTTTTGATTCTTTCTAAATATCTGCTAATTAAATCATCGTTCAATATGCCAGCATTCTGAAGGTTCATTTCAATGCTGATACAAAGTGTTTGTGCTCAGACAACCAAGGGTTATCACTTTTGAAACTAGATATTGCTTGCTATGTCAGCCATGCAGGATTAATGACCAATCTCCATAATTTTTACCTCCTTGGTTGGAACGTCGCTTGATAAGACAATAATCTGCCAATACTGTGTGCTGAAGGCTTTACATGTAGGGGCTGTATGCCTGAGTATGGACTCTTTCAGATTAGTGCAACATCCTTTCAGATTTGCCCTGAAATCAGTCGATAAGTACACAAGGGTTTGGACAGAATGAAGCATATGGAATTAGGCCCAGAATAACATCAAACATCTCGCATTCAGAAGCAGTATCAAGGTGGAATCATCTACACCTGAAATTTCAATGGGATATTTCACCTAGCTGCACATCTTTACCAATGGTTCTGTGGTGGCTATGCAGGATTGGGATGAAGTTCTATATCCTACTGTGAGACTACGTTGCAGGAGTTGAACTTGATTTTCTCCCTTACGAATAATGCCAGTCCCCATCAAGCCAACTGTACTAACAAGTACCAGGAGAGTGACAACATCTGTCATATGAAGTGGCTGTTGTATTTTCCCAAATTTGATCCAATTGAAAATGATACTGATCTGTTATCGGGACCGGGTTAAAAAATATACGTATAAGTGCATGCATATATGTACATACATATGTATGTGCATGAATACACACACATATGTGCACATATACATACATTCCTGAATCTGGTCTTGATAGCAGAAAAGTACTGAAAAGACTTGCAGATCCTCAAGCATGCTATCTCTGCAAATTTATCTCCTCCAGTCAATCTTAGATAATGGACTGTCGTAATGGCCATTGTTACCACCTGCAATGGTTTATCTTCTCGCTAAAAGCATGGGCAGTTGCTGTGAAGTTTGCATGAATGTCCAGGGTTGTCACATACCTTATTAATGTAAGTTTTGTTTATTTGTTTTTAGCTTTAAACATCTATTTATTACTGACCCAAATATGACATTATTATATGATTTATGAAAATTAAATACTATTTTCCTCTTTGTATATAATCCTTGGGTTAATCTTTGGATTATGGTAACTTGTCAATTTTTTGGCAAAAATTTGGTGACCAACCCTGCTACAGCAACCTGCTAGTTTTTGTTTGAATGCCATTTTGTTTTCATGAAGTAAAGGCATTTCCAACATTTTGTTTTCACGAAAATGTTGAGTTTTTTTTTTACTCAACATTTCCAACATTTTTTCCCAACAATCTGCTAGCCGAATTACACTTATGCTAGAACTTTTATGGAACAAAAGTGCTTAATCGTGAAGAAGATTAGGTGCGAAATTGGGACAAGTTCAGAATCGCCCACTGCTTGCCGCGTTTTTACGAATTGCACATACACTGTATCATCCATGTACACGTCGACCTATTTTCACTTAAAAAAAATCCCAGAATTGCACAAAAATGGCATTGCGCACACTCTACACTATATCCATGTACACTGCGGTGCTACTTTGGTAGCCGGTTGCACAGATTTTTGGCGATTTATGTTGGCGCAATTTTTACAATCATCAGCCATCTTGAAAAACGCTGTTTTTACGCATAATAAAGTATTCGAAACTTAAAAAAAAAAAATAAATAAATAAATATCGTTAAAAGTAATGGATTCATTTTTTGTTGAAAATGTCGTTTTTTAAGATGGCAGGCAAGTGTAAATAAATACATTTACTATGAGTATAAAGTACTAAAGTGAGGCTATTATTACTTTCATATAGCAAAAAAGAGAATAAAAACACCGCTATAAAAACATTGTGCCAACGTTTAATTAGATTAAAATATTACTGAAATTGAATATCGAATTAAAAACAATCCTACCAACATTTAAAAGAATTAGAATATTATTAAATTCAAATACTTTAAAATACGTTATATAAAATATAATTAACATTAAAACATATGTGACAATAATTATCTCAGCAATTTTTGAAAATAGGGTATTAATTTTTTTAACAAAAATTGAAGTATACAATTATAAAATAAAAGAAAAATATGTACTTACATTTTTTTGAATAATTTAACCTCTTGTTTATTGATAAGTACCACAAAAAAAATCGAAATCATAATTGAATCGGATCTTTTAACCATCTTCATCTGTTATCCAAATATCTCGCACTTCATTGAAGAAGCAATTAGCGAGGTTTACTCCAAAATTTCCTCTGACGCTATTAACAATTTATAAATAAATCTTTGATTAGGAAAGACAGGTTGGCCAAAATAAAGTCTCAAAGGGCAATTTTTTTATTCCAATACCAATAATTCTTGGTAATTACCAATAACAACATTCGTCTTCGAAACAGAGATATCCATTCCATTTGAAATCCGAGGAATTCGAAGAGATGAATAATAAAATTTTAAAATGGCGCGGTAATGCACAAATATTCAGTAACCAATCAGGGAGCTGATTACATCACGCATAGAATTAAAATTATTTAAATAATCATTCATAATAAAATCATTTTTAAAACAAATGCAAAAATTAAATTGTATTTTAATATTAACAGCCATAAATAATGTTTAAACATTAGATTAAATCTATATATATTGATAAAACCAATTACTTTTTAAGTAAGGTGACATCATTGATTACATCATCCACAACATAAAATTATATAAAATATTATAAACAACAAAATTTTTATTTCAAATAAAAATGTAAAATTAAATTGATTTTTAATATTTAGAAGCCATAAATAATATTTAAAACACGGAAGTTATGCATAATAAAACACATTATTTTTTTAATAAAATGACAACAAAGTATCGGTTACCATAAATAACTTATCCAGCAATGGGTTTACCATAAGTTGTATTATTCACCAAACGGCAAATCGCCAAAATCCGTGCAACCGTCTACCAAAGTAGCACCTACACTGCTAAAGTCCTAGCTAGTAACCTTTATCGCCTTACCAAAATGTCGCCAAACTACCTGTTACCATATTCCAAAGATTAGCCAATCCTTGTTTTCTTTAATGCATAGATACATTTGTTATCTTCATGTGCTATTTGGTGTTAATCAAAGGGTTTCTATTTTTGTTGAGTTTACGGTTGTGTGTTTAATTTTTAGAAGTGAATATAGTTAACCTACATGAGAATTTTTATACATGTGGGTATAAATATTGTTTTACAAGTTATATACTTTCTAAATAGCTTTATACATAAGCCCTTAGTGTTCTCTATTTATTCCAATACAAAATAATTTTTATTTTCAATATCAGACTTTAATACATGGATGTTTTAAATATCATGGCATAAAAGAACAGAACTTTGCATTGTGTTGTGTTTAACATTCTTCACAGTTGGAAGTGTGCTCTGTGACACTGAAAACAGCTGTACGAATGTTTTTGTTAAAAGTTTCAGAACTGTAGAGTGTTTCTTTTGGGAAAATAAATTTTACCAGTGTGCAATCAATTCATTACAAACCCATATCCATGCAACAATTTTTGGTGTCAAAAGTGAGATTGCATGGCGGTAATAAATGAGCAACTAAGACAGCTGGTGACTGCTGTTACTTCGTTTCAGAAAAAGATTGAAGGGGCTATCAACTCCATTAAAGTATTGATGAACAAGGTTCAAGTAAAGGTGCAAGTGAGCCAATTCCAATGAGACAATACCTTTAATCGAAATTAATATTCCAGTCTCACTGAAATATCCAAATCCAATGTATTTAATTCTTTTAAAATTAAATAATATTTGATGGCTGCTGGTATCTAGATAAGTTCTTGGAATTTTATGATAGTTCCCCTCAGTTCAGTAAAAGCAGCAAAAAATTCCCAGTAAAAAAGAAATGATTAAGTACTAAAAAAATTCAATTACTTGCACAGCTCAGTTTTGCTTGACTATAAATTAAAAAACAGCGTGATTTAACTCACCTCATGTTTAATTGAATTCCATTTCTGCATGTTGCGAACCAACTTTTTCTAATCGTTTTAAGATAAAAGTAGAAGCATCAATAAAGCGATTCACACAATTCGTTAAACAGGTCTCCGTTTTCGAATCCAGTCGCTGACCTGGTTTATCTAAACATATATCCCAACACTTATCATTCAACTCATTCACTAATTGTTGGAATCTTTGTTTCTGATTTTCCTCCTCGATGAAGCGTTCTAAATCTTTATCAATACTCGAAGATCCTGACGAGCCGTACTCGCTTCCAAAGCTCATTTTGAAAAATAATAATAATAACGATTCTGATGATGGAATTGCACTTTATGCAGCACTAAGACAGATCGCACTGAAAGCAGAAAGGTGTTAGTGCACCTTCATACTACCTCTTTCTACCCTTAGACTGAAATCGTATAGTAGTTCTGCTGCAACCTTGGCAATTCTAATAAGGAAAAGTAAAGGCTTCAAAGGAAAGATAGCTTAAAATAAATGTTAGTTAAAATAAATATAAACCCTACATTTGCCGCTGCCAGAATTTGGTAAACTTGGAAGCAGGTCCTAGACACGACCTGTGGTAAAGTTTCCATATTCTGACCTAAGACTCAAGAGCTCCGTTTACAAAAAACAAACTTTTACCT